AACTTCTTATTTCAAAGAACACATGACAAAAACGGACATCTCTTTTATTCTGAGGAATATGAGCGACGCTCGTTTGCCTTTATGCCATCTGTATCGAAGAAAATGGGGAAGCGCATCAAGCAATTCGACAGTTAAAAGTAAAGACGGACCGCGATAAAGTTTTGTGTTGGACAAAAATTTGCAACAACACATTCTTATCTCTGGCATTCTTGAGAATTTACATTACTTGGCGAAAGCAAAAGCATATTCTATGGGTGATACATTTCAACATGCTTCAACATTTTTCTTGCAATTATTTACCATACATAGCTTATTAAATGGGCATTGCATGTTTTTTATATTCTGTGTTCTTTTACCGTTGGGGAATATTTCCGATATAAACGAAACAGCACAAGCTCATAAATATTCATTATCGTTCACTATCGAAAAAATACATGAAAGTAGGTCCTCAACCACAAACACGACGGCCACTTGTTATAGAAAACGACGTCATCGAAGCAGTTAACGAATTTGTATACCTGGGAACGCTCGTCAATACTGAAAATGACATTACCGCAGAGATAAACCGCAGAATTTGCATGGCTAATAGATGCTATTTTGGGTTTAATCTCCTTTTTAAATCTACAGCTATATCAAGTAATACAAAAGTAAAACTCTACAAAACAATAATACGCCCAGTCTTAACATATGGTTCAGAAACCTGGACTTTAACAAAAAGCAATGAAAACATGTTAGGATGTTTCGAAAGAAAAATACTGAGGTGAATCTATGGAGCGGTAAATGAAAATGGTGTCTGGAGAAGACGATACAACTTCGAACTCTATAGAATATACCAGGAACCAGATATCGTAAAAACTCCTTGATAGAACTATTGGTCAAAGAAGAAGAGGAAGACCCAGAACAAGATTCCTAGATAACATAGACCAAGATATGAGAAATATGGAAATACATGCTTGGCGGAAGAAGGCGATGGATAGGGACGATGGAAGGCGATGGAAGTTGGCCTTCTAGCTCAGCCTTTTTAATAAAGTTTATTATGTCATTTGGTGACACTTACCTTGTGATGAGTGAATGTGATGCTTCCGCAATGAGCATAAGCGTGCTTGAATTTTTACTCGCGGGTAATTATTCAGATTTTAAAAATTGGAAGTAGTAATAACGTATAAAAACACGTTCAAAGAATTTAAAAAAACGAGAGTTTAACTATTAACAAATCACGTCTTTATAGAAAAAGTAAAATACAATTTTATTTGCTTTAAAATTAATACAATAAAATATAGTTGAATTCAAGTTAATTTTTAATAGGTATCAAAATAATGCTACAATAAAAAATCTTTATGTTTTCTCCTAAATTTGCTACCAAAATAGTTCGATCGTCAATATTATTTGGAAACCTACATAGAAAAATAAATTAGTTTTATTCATTTCACTAATTTATTTGCATCCATGAGAAATATTAAATTAAAAAGGTACTAAATAGATGTTTTTTAATCAGATGATGTCTACTTACAATTTAAAAATGTCTACTAATTTCATGAACTTATATCTTATTCAACACATTAATGAACATGAATAAACCCAATGGTACGCCTATTTAAATGTAGACAAACACGCTTCCTCATTTCCTCATCTTGAATAATGTAAATTGTATGTACTTACAAATGAACTGAGAGATCGGGATGTAAATATTTCGTTTATTTTATTTCACTTTCCACAAATATCACTCAAAATACAGCCAAAATATCAAAAAACAACTTTTGCTAAAAAGTAAACAAACATGGAACAGCATTTGAAGTTTGACGTAGATCCATAAGACAGAGAAATGTAAACAACCGTTGCCATTTATAAATAGTTTTCAGTGCTTCTACATATAAAATAATTGATAGATATCTATTATAAGCTATTATTAAATGATAATGCATACTATGTGCACACTTTATATTTTGATTACAATTAAATATATTATTCTAACCAATAAATTATTATTTTGGTTTGATAGCACCTGTAGAGTATAAAATACGGAGTAATATTTTCAGCGACTCGCGAATAAGAAATTTTAAAACAAAACGTGACAACAGTTGAAGGTGCTGAGAATGTGACCTATTCAAATAATTTTGACTTCACAATTTTATGTAAATAGGTGAGTCCATCTGTGTTTATACGTCCATGTATTCCAGCATCTCATCTTCAGCCTAAAAGAATCTGGAATGCACAATTTCTAGCAGTACGATTTCATTTATGTATCCCTTGAGTGTCCTGTTAGAAGACCCGATAATTCGCAGATCATGTTTATTCATATATGGTAAGTAAGTCGTTGAATCTCTTCTTTAAAGATACATGTTTAAAAGCTTTCGAATATTTAAGACCCATTTTATAATATCAGTGGTTACATTTTATCCGTTTTAAACAGTCTGATATCGTTTTTTGCTAATCTTCTTGCTATGTCAAGGACCGGTTCTGTACCTACAAATATCTCTTGCACCACTCATCTGGCAAGTAAATCCGATTTTTCATTCCCTTTAATACTAATATCTAGAAAAACCCAGACTAAATGTATTTTGTTACTTTTTCTAAGTACAATTAGATTTTAAAGACAGTTAGTTCCAAACTAATTTTAATTCAATTCGATTCCATTACAGTGCCTTTAATGACTGACTATCCGATATATTTTTATAGGTCTGTATCTACAGTTCCCCTTTGTTAGTTCCTGCATTGAAGAGCGTAAGTCGCCCAATTCACATCTACTGCAAGATTCCACAATACGACAAATGGCTACCACGTTTAACAATAAATACGGAGCACCTGTAAAAAACTTCCGCAAATCGTCTTACTTAAATACATACTCTTTCTTGGTCACGTTTATTTCATTTTCACAAATAAATTAAAATCAACCCCTTAGTTTATCCTTATCATACTTTGAAATTTCGAATGCATAGCCCACATAGTCGACGGCTGATACTGTTTCGACATTTTCTGAAGAAAAGCACAACTCGTTCATCTGCATCTTCTACCTTTTGCCCTGCCATTCATTGATTGAAGTTGTCGTATTCTTTTTTATAAACGACTTTCGATTTTAGCGGTATTAACCGCGATTTTACTTTACTATTTAAGTACTTAGGTATTTAAGTATTTAAGAACTTATTTTTAAGCAATATAAAACCAGTGATAACAACTAACCTTAGGTGAGAGATACAACACAGCTAATAATACGAAACCCTTACGGAACTGTTCAATCTTTCATAGGCGTCAACATGGTGTAATAATCAGAAAAATGTAATGATTATTATGTTGGAAATTTTAGAATTATATTTATTCAATAACCAAAAACATTTGGTACTATTTTTAATATAAATTTTATAAAACAACTCTTTTAAGTCTAATATTCCACAAAATAATAATTTTAGTTAAATAGATTATACCACTGTACGCAACTGATACGTGACTACTTCAAATTTTATTGACAGTTCAGCGTGTGGCAAAAGTGTATAAAGTGTTGCTGCTTTTTTGAGTTAGAATTTTGTTTATGTTTTGATTTCTTACACAATTTGATCATAATATAATATGTATTAATAAATTGTATTTATAAATACATATTAAATTTAGATTAATAGCTTTAAAAACTAATTATTGTTGTGTAGTGTGATTGTGCTATACCAAATCAAATAAATAATCTATAGAAAGCTAATAAGCTTTCATATAAAATAGATTATTTTAAACAAGAAATAATGGCGGGACGTTTTTACTATTAAAGCCCTAAAAGAGGTAAGTTTTTAATTTAGAATATATAATTTTGTATTGAAATGTTATCTTATGTATTTTAGTGTGTTGCAGTAGTCTAAAAACTAATTGTACTTACTGTTAATATAATAGTTTGACAAATAGTTGATATTTTAAAAATTCCTCACTCACTAATTATTCTGATATTTTGGCAACGCTATGGGGTTCTGACGTCGTAAATCTTAAATGACGTGCAAGCATTTTTATATGAAAATTTCTATAGCAAATTAATTTTTCTTTACGGTCATTTCCCTACAACGAAAGGTATACTAATGTACTTAAATATTTCAACAACTATTTTACATTATTAGCTCTTATTTCAATTTTTTGTAGTAATAATACATGATTTTAAAGCGTACCGATAAAAAATATTATAAAGTGTTCGTGGTTAACTGGTCTTTTAAACACTTGCTCCATTTCAAGCACTCCAGCTACATCGACGTCATCGAGCAAAAAGACAAAAGAGATGTAAAGGTAGTGGGGACAAAATATTGTTAGACAGGAAGTGCCATCTTAAGAGGCCACTTTAAACAAGGAAAGACAGTCTCTCTCCTTGTTTAAGAAATCAAATTTAGTTTGGGTATGTTATTGTTAGTCCTAACTGTCACATGAAATTTTATTTATATTGAAGATTTTTACCAATTGTGCCATATTTAATTAAAACTTTCTCGTCTGAAAAATATTTTATAGCTATTCTTAATAAGTGTCGGAAAATTTAAATTTAGCACCTTTGCATTTCCGGATATGTCCGCCATCTGAGGCCACTTTTTTGGTCTCCTTTTCATAACGATTAGATTCCATCTTTTGTCTTTTTGCTCGATGGTCGACGTGCTCGAAAAATCGCGGTGTTTGAAATACCTTAATATTCACTTATACATTAATATACTATATTTTACACATTTAAATAATATTTATTTAATGATCATTGTAATCAGCTATATCCTTTCGAAAAATTGTTTTTTTCTTAGGTGAGGAGATCTTTAAAAGTTATGCAGTCGCTAACACAAGATTTCTCGTTATAGTTGTTTGGTCTAAATAAGTTTTTCTCATTGTTCCTTTCTGGATGGAACTTCCGAAGCCTCGTGGTACACCAAACATGGAATGACAGCTGTAGCAGCATAGCATATACCACGCAAAACTCAAAAGCTACTTGAAACCACAACTTCTACTTTAAAAAATATGGGATTGTTTAGAAATATTGTGAAGAAAATAAAACTAAATTTTTGCAATTAACGATTTTATTCATTTAGAGTATTATTGTTTTCGACACAAATAAAAATAAAAAAATAAGATTTACATTCTTTTATCACATAACTTATATCTTACGCTGCTGGTGCTAAAAAATAAAAAAGTTTTTAATTAGTAATGTTTTAAAGTTATTTAAAATGTTTTAATAATATGTAAAGGTAACAAACATAAATATTTTTAAATGTAAAAAAAATAGTTAAAAAAGCTTTAAACATGTTGGATTAATTAGGGTCTAAACGTGTAATTTAGTTAAACAGGGGTCCAAATGACTTTCGATCAGAATTAAACCGCCCATATAAACATAAGCAAAAAGTTTCTCTAATGCTTTTAGGTAAGAGTAGAATAATAAAAATGTCCATTTCGTTAATTAAAAGAATAATTCATTAATAAACGTAAATAGAAAGAAAAATTTAACGTTACAATTGTCACAAAATAAAATAAATTAACATATAAAAATGTTTAATCACAAATTAATCCCTTAATTTGTAATCTCACATTATGCTTAACTTCTTAACTTTTTATAGTTTCACCGTGTATAACTGAAACATTGTGAAATATATCGAGTATTATTTTAATAACAAGAGTCCATTCAATTTAAAAAAGCCGCAGACTTAATAAATTGCGAAATAATATTGTCTGATTGAACTTCCTAAGGTTTTGAAATAACTAAGTATGTTAGTATGATAGATGCACTAAACTCTGTGCTAAGGTATACATTATTTGTGAAATTATAAATTAAGGATTTTAGCTCTTTTGAGCGCAGTCTATTATAGAAAGTAGCATTACCAACAACTAGAGTCTAACTATTAGTAGCGGTCGATAAAACTATAATTTTACTCCACATATCAACCATTTATTTACCATCATCAATTGAGAAGAATTGGACAAAGGAACATTAGAAAACAATTCGATTTTAATAATTACATCGGATCTGTCCAACAAAGATAAACAATAATTAAAACCTATGAAAATGTTTTCTATAAAGTGTAGGAAAATCTAGCTGCAGGTTTAGCGAATTTCTAACATCGTCCAGAATTATTTATGTCGCCTCCATGGCTCTGGAATCCAGTTAATTATAAATAGGCCTTACGAAACCAAACCAGATTTATTTGTTACCAATTATCAAACTCTTTTTTACAAAAATTGCTTTTCTTTTCATTAGAATATATTGACTATTATCGAAATTAAACAATGTTACTGACCGTTTTTAGATCAAGACCAATGTCCGTCTTTATTCTAAGAGAATCCTCTGTATAAACTTCATCCAACTAAATTGACTTTTAGGTTGCGCCAACCCGTTTTTGGGAGTCTACCTATACTCTTCCGTTTCGTTAGAAATTAGTCTCAAGCAATTTTCACCTATTCCTTTTGCAGCCATTTTAATAGTATGTTCATTCCGTTCTTTTCCTCTTTTTCGTCATTTACATTACATATATTTCTTATATTTTGATTCGTTTCTTGTTTCTGTTGTTTCAAACAATCTTTTGGTTTTTGTCGTTTCTGGTTTACCTTATACCTACCTACTTTAAACAGCAGTCTTGTATATTATTTGTATATTTGTATATTATCAATTAAGAATCAATGCCAATATTTTTGTTACGCCATATTGTATTGTTAAGACAGCCAGCTAAATTAGTTGCTATTGTTATTCGTTTCCTTGCTAAGTCTAAAACTATTCTAAAGACTAAATTTTACATAAAAGAAAATGGTTTTCAACTATCCACCCTTTCGTGCATACAGAATCCTATCCTGCCGGGCTATAAGTATCGAGGCGTAACGCTCTTTACCATTTAAAATGTGTTTTTGCGTCATTTGAACGATAGACATTCAATCTCATATTAAAAAGTTCATAGTTAGTCACTTTTCGAACTGACGAGTATCGAACATTATGAACTTAGCGTAATAGATGTGCCTGTTTTAAGGGATGGTCCTTCTTAATTTTTTTGCGGTAGTTTTTAGGAATAGAGTAACGTGAGCAAATAGAGGAGTGGCTATATGCTGCTAGCAAAGCGGTAGAAAGCCGAAGATGACTTTTTTTAAGGAAAAATAGAGAGTTTAAGCACGTCTTAAGAAGAAAACATATCTAATGTTTCCTTCGGAAGTTACGAAATACGAAATTCTTTGATAAGAAGATGAGCTTTTTGGAAATCTATTTGCTTATTATAGGTTTTATCTAAGATATTTAGAGAAGATGATTCTAAATAGCATTAATAATATCAGATGGAGTAAGAGAACAAATCCACGAAGTATGTACTTTTCTCTTTTCCCTTTTATAATGTTTTAATATAAGAAATTAGTTGGCTAATTACACGATAGCTTAGTTATGCAAATACAAACTTTATATTAATGACATCCTCAATATCCTTAATTTTTTTACAAGTAGTACAAAGAACATACTTTTAATTAACCTATTTTGTTATATTACATTATCTAATTAAAAAATATATGCACGAATGTAATACTTACCAGGAGTGGATATGATGTATGCTGAAATAAAACAATATTATATTATTTATTATTATCTAATCAAATTTTGCAGACATAAAAGCCAAGTATAAGTTCGAAAAAACAAAAATGAAACCTAAAACGTCAAACCAAATGTAGGTCACGTTTTATTATTGATAATATGTCAAAAAAGTGGCAAAAACTATTAAGATTAGTACACACAATAATAAATAAAAAACAACCAAAGAGATAAACCTAGCCAACTAATATTTAGGAGTCAAGAGGAAGAGGAATAATATATTAATAATTCATTATAAGACAGAACACCAACAGATATGAAAATATTAAACAAACAAATAGTAAACGCAATGCAACAGACTCAAACTAAATATTGTTTAGAAAACAAAATGGAAAAAACTAAGTCCCTACGAAAACCTGTATCGAATTACGGAGGAAGATAAAAAGAGATAACAGTATAGATAAATAAGAAGATGACAAAGGCAGTAAGAAAATATATAAGAAGATGTAAGAAACTACAAAGCAGCTAGATAGCAATGTAGCAAACAAGGAATAGAGCAAAATACAAAATAAGAACATGAAAGTTTTGAGAAGGAGCCTACAAAAGTTAAAAATAAAAATTAGCAAATTATGAAACAGAGCTGGAGAAGAAACTACAAACAGAGATAAAATATTAACAATAGTCGAATAGTTCTACACAGAGCTGTATAGATCAAGAAAAAAATATAAAAATGCGTAACCTCCAATTACAGTTATATATGATATAAAAAAATCGAAAATCAAAGAGGAAGATTAGATTAGATTTCCTAAAGAAAATAAAAAATAATGAGACCCCAGACGAAGATGAAATAGTGTCAAAAGCACTTAAAATTTAAGTTGTTTAGGGGAATATTAGTTAAAAAAATTTAAAGAAAATGAGAGACTTACAAACCAAGAGAACAGGCAGGATTCTGCAAAAATTACGGAACTAATCACCATCTACAAAGTATAAAAATTCATAGAGAAAGCAATGGACTGCAATAACTAGTACCAATATTTATCGATTTTTACAAAGCCTATAACATACTGAGCTAAGTAAAATAGTAGAGGCGCTGAAACAATACAGGCCACATTGTAGGTATAAAAATATTATATAAAATATATCTACAGGCAACAACAATGTTACTTAAACTGTTTAACACGGTGCTGAAACATGCTTTTGAGAATTAGAATTGGCTGACAAAGGGAATAAAAATAGGTGAAGAACAACTTACATTTCGCCAATGATATGATTATAATAGATGAGGATCTAGGAATAGTAAGAGAGACAATACAGCTACTCGTTATGGTTACAAGTGGTTTAAATAATAACATCTCGAAAATAAAAATAATGACAAATTTGGTACCCAACCAGAATATCAGTATTTATGAGCAAGAAATAAAACTCGCAGGTAAATATAAATACCTATGACACGAAATTATGACTGGCAGAGATAATCAGACCCATGAACTGAAGAAAAGAATCGATCCTAGGTGGACATCATACGGAAAACTGAGAAACAGTTTTAAAAGTGAGCTGCCCATATTTCTGAAGAGAAAAGTATTTGATTAATGCATTCTCAGAGTGTTGACCTACGGAGCAGAAACACTTAATAAGAGCTTCAGCTACCAGACTAAGGATTATACAAAAAAGAATGGTGCGATCCATATTAGTAATAACGCTTTGAGACAAAAGACAAAACAAAACAAAAACAAGACAAAAGACAAAACAACATTCTCTCTCCTGATGCCAACCAATATGTAGCTGTTCCATTTTAAAAAAAATTTTTAAAAATTTTAAACTCTTTGTCCTTGTGTCGTGTACTGTGAATGTAAAATTTTATGTTTATAACATTCACAATAGATTCTTGGATAGGCCAAATTTGCCGAAATGCCCCTGAAGATGTTCTAAAAAGCGAAAGTACTTGGGCAAGATTTAATTAATAAGCTGTGCTTGATATCTGCCTTTCATTTGATCAAAGTTCATTTATTCGAGCATTCAACCCTATATCACAAAATTACAAAGTGACTGATATCATGGAATTGATAGCCAGACTAAAATATACATATACAGAATTACAGTTCGGTGACAGACAAAGGTGTTATTGAAATGGAGATCGATGGAAGTCATGGGAAGCATCGGTCAATCACCTACATGATGAGCTGACGATTTACGAAGGCTAAATCAAAACTGGATGAGAGCAGCGTAAGATCATAAAGAACGGAGTAAAATCACAAGTATAGCAAAATTAAATATTTTGAAATTTATTGTAAACAAATAGCTTAAAGCTTTGGCTTAAATGTAAATAGTTTTCCTATATTTAATTATTTTTTTAGTATGGTATGTAAGAAACTTACAGCAATCAACGTTTGCAGCCCAATCACATGTTTTTAGCAAATTATTCCATAATTGCCCGGTAGGACACGTCATTAAAATTGGTTTTCCGTTTGAACACTCATAGTATTTGGCGCAGTCATACATGTATGGGAAATAAGTATTATCTTGTTTACATATAATTTCGGGTGTTGTGTTTGGTCCAGGTGCGTCAGTAGGTACTTCAGTAGGTGCTTCGGTAGGTGCATCGGTAGGTGGTTGGGTAGGTGCTTCGGTAGGTGCTTCGGTAGGTGGTTGGGTAGGTGCTTCGGTAGGTGCTTCGGTAGGTGCTTGGGTAGGTGCTTGGGTAGGTGCTGCTGTAGGTGCTCCTGTAGGAAGCGTTAATATAATTTAATTTTAATAATTAAATCTTAAAAAAATTGGTAAATGTATTGTTTTCTTGGTTTTTTGTGATTCATTTATATAGTTTATCAAGTTGACAAAAATATTATTTTCGACTGACGTCTCGTGATTTAACTGTCAAAATATACCAGTCGAAAATTTTGCCAAAAAAATTTTCTCTCTTGTGATGCTCGTATTATATACGATAAGTCAATGAAAATGGAGGTGAAAATTTTAAATGTTAATTATTTAAATATTCGCTGTTTAATTATAAATATGAATACTTTATTTAAGACTTACCACTAGTGGTTACAACGTATGCTGAAAAATAAAAGAGTATTGTACTTTCTATTCATTATTGTATTTTTTTTTATACGGAGTGGCCCAAAAGTCTGGAAACGGCCAATTATCTGGTAAATTGCTAGTTATAATTGTACAAAATTTAAGGTACACCTATTTTGGGATATGGAGATTTCATATTTGATATTTGCAATGTTACCAGATTTGCCGTTTCTCTGAGATTATTAGTAACTTTGGATTTTCATATGCATCACCCTGTATATTCAGTCATGATTAGAATCTTCTATTCAATATGAGTTCAACTATATGTAACACTTATGATTTTTTATAGTCTGGAAGGTCTTAAATATATAAAACAGAAGTCTGCCAACGCCTAATTGCTTCAATAAATTTTTTGATACTAATTATTTTCAACTACATTAAAACGTAATAATTGATAGATTAGACCATTTTTTAACAATAGTTACGTTACTAAGTGTTCAAAATGTGCTCAATTTGTGAGTTGACAGTACCCTAATCGATGGTAGAATGCGTCTACCACATTTCTCCATGATTGTCTAGAAATTATTTGAGATTAATCGATAATTCGTTGCCTTTGCTCTGCAAGACTTGGCTCGTTAAGTTTGTAAACTGAATTTTTCAAGTATCCCTAATAAAAATAATCCTTAGGATTGAAATCGGGTGAACGTGGAGGTCATTCAATTCTACCTTGTCTACCAATAATCCCTACGATAAGTACGGAAAATATCTCATCTAAATAACGCCGAACATTTACACCAACTATCTGACGTTAAATTTCCTTTCATAAAAAATGACCCAATTGACTAAATACCTACTATATCTCATCATACATTTAATTTTTGTGGTCTGGTATGGTTTTCACGCATTCAGTGTGAATTTCATACGAGTTCAACTATTCAATACGAGTTCAAAAATATGTAACACTTATGATTGTATGTAGTCTGGAAGGTTTTAAATACATAAAACAGTGCAAAATATGTACAATTTAATAAATTATTGCTGTGGTATTGACATTTGTTCACGATTTACATTATAAACGAAAAGTGAAAGTAGTTGTGTTTCGAAAAGTTCTGCAATTTAATTGCTTCTCTAAAATGCCGTTCTCCAAACCGTTCTCCTATTCATAAGCCGACGGTACAAAAAACTGTAAAGCGATTTGAGAAATCTGAAGAAGGTAAAGATAGATGGAAAGAGAAAAGTTTTGTTGAAGATCCACATACATCCTCAGGCAAGTTTGAACAAATACATGATGTAGTTCGTTCTTCAGTCTTACTTATATTACGTAAAAATAAGTTTAAACCATATAAAATAATTTTATTGCAAGAATTAAGTGAAGATGACTTCAATCTTAGATTAGAGTTTACTAAGGTAATTATGGATAAAACTAAAAACTAATAAAATTTCATTAACAAAATATGTTTTCCGATGAAGCAATCTTTCCACTGTATGGAAGTGTATATAGACACAATTTAAGGTACTGGAGTTACGCAAATTCACACTGAATGCGTGAAAACCATACTCAAAGACCACAAAAATTAAATGTATCGTCAGGTATAGTAGGTATTCAGTCAGTTGGGTCATTTTTAATCGAAAGAAATTTAACGTCAGATAGTTGGTGTAAATGTTCGGCGTTATTTAGTGGAGGTATTTCCCGGACGATAAATTGGTAGACAAGGTAGAATTAAATGGCCTTCACGTTCACCCGATTTTAATCATAAAAATTATTTTTATTAGGATACTTCGATTAGTCCGACCAGTCAAACAAGCCGAATTTAGAAGCGGGCGTAGCTGTAGTGATCAAGTACTGTCCTTAACGACATTTATTGAAGCCGGTTTCTAAAAACGGGAAAAAACAGCCGTAACGTTTGTAGATCTGACGGTTGCATATGACACTGTGTGGAGAGAAGGAGAAGGAGAGAGACAAGCCTCTTCCATCTCACAAATCAGCTTTCGAATGACACCCTTAGCATCACCTTCAATGGCGAGACTTTGAACCATAATAACAACCCTAAATACCTGGGTGTAACGCTCGACAGATCACTGACGTTCAAAACCCATCTTACGAATGTAGCTGCCAAAGTGAGAACCCGTAACACCATAATAACAAAGCTTGCTGGAACGACATGGGGTGCCACTGCGGATACACTTCGAACCTCCTCACTGGCCCTGGTGTATTCTGTCGCTGAATACTGCGCACCGGTATGGCTAAATAGCGCCCATGTCAACAAGATTGATGTTCAACTAAATTACACTATGAGAGTAATATCTGGTACTATTAAATCAACTCCACTAAGATGGCTTCCAATTCTGAGCAATATAGCACCTCCAGATATTCGACGAACGGCAGCACTTGTCAGAGAATATCAGAAAATCATGGCAAATAATCGTCTGCCAATTCACCAGTATATTCCGCACGCCGCACGAGACCAACAAAGACTGAAGTCCAGACGACCCCCTGTCCCATCCGTTCAGGGAATGGGTGATAGCTACAATAAGCAAGAGCAGTGGACGAAAAGATGGATGCCAACAACAGAGCCAGACGTCATCAAAATAACAAGTACGTCGATCGGCTTCACTGGATCAAACCTGCCACGCCCTATATGTGATTGTGGATCCCCGAGACAGACCATCCAACACATCATGGCGGATTGCCCAATCCGCAGATACAGCGGAGACTTTCAAGATTTTGCAGAGTGTTCTCCTGGTGCAATTGAATGGCTGTGCAACTTGGACATTAATATTTAATATTTAACTTAGGTTACAATTCTAATTTGAACATAATTATTATCTAAATACTACTTTTATCGTATTGTAATTATCCATACGCTAAATAAAATAAATAAATAAATTAGGATACTTGAAAAATTCAGTTTACAAAACTTAACCAGCAAATCTTGCAGCGCTAAGGCAACGAATTATCGATGAATCTCGAATTGTTTCTAGATCAACATGGAGAAATGTGAAAGACGCTTTCTACCATCTATTAGGGTACTGTCAACTCTCAAATTGAGCACATTTTGAACACTTAATAACGTAACTATTGGTCTAATTATAAACACAAAAATGGTCTAATCTATCAATTGTAACGTTTTCATGTAATTGAAAATAATTAGTATTAAAAAATTTATTGAAACAATTAAAAGTTGCCAGACTTGTGTTTTATGTATTTAAGAACTTTCAGAATACATAAAATCATAAGTGTTACATATGGTTGAACTCGTATTGAATAACAGATTCCAATAATGACTAAATATACAGGGTGATGCATGTAAATAACCAAAGTTACTAATAATATAAGAGAAACTAAAAATCTGGCAACATTGCAAATATAAAATATAGAATTTCCGTATTCCAAAATAGGTGTATCTCAAATTTTGTACAATTATAACTAGCAATTTACGAGATAATTGGCCGTTTCCAGACTTTTGGGCCACTTTGTATGTATATACATATATATTACTTATGGTATTTATAGAAAATATTTACGATAAAATAATATATTGTTATTGATATAAGTAAAAATGGTTAATTTAAATATCGTACTTACAACAGTCAACATTAGCAGGCCAGTCGCAGTTGTTTATTTTAATATTCCATAATTCTCCTGTTGGACAATCCATTAAAACTGGTATTCCATTGGAACATTCATAGTACTTTGAGCAATCATAAATGTAAGGGAAATATTCTTTGTCAGCTGTACATATAAGATCTGGTGTTGTGTATGGTATAGGTTCAGTAGTTGCTTCTGTGGGATCCTCTGAAGGAGTGTTTGTATCGGCACTGGAAGTATCTGGGACATCAGATGAAGGATTTGCTAAAATAAAAATTTTAAGTTAGACTTTGTTTATATTTTAAACCTAACTTGACAAACATGTTTATAACTAAATATTAATTTATTAAATGAGAACAGAGACGAATTTAAAGAAGATATGAATTCATCAAGAATCGAAATTCTGGGAGAGCATATTACCATAGATATCAACACAGTTCAAAAAGCTATAGCAGGGATGAAGAATGGGAAAGCAAGTGGACCAGAGGGAGTAACTACGGAATTAATAAAGAATGGCTCAGAGAAATTACACAGAATGATCACGGTGATATTTAACGAATATATTAATGGACATCCAACACCAGATGAATGGAAAACAGCATATATGACCCCAATATATAAAAAAGGTGACAGGAGAAATTGTAAAAACTATAGAGGGATATCGGTCACAAGTTCAATGAGTCGACTATACGGTCGAATACTACGGGACCTGATAGAGGAAGATTATCAATCGTCTGAAGACGAAGAACAAGGAGGATTTAGAGCAGGTCGTTCATGTACAGATAACATCTTCTGTCTTAAACAAATTATAGAAAAGAAAGTTGTGACAAATAGAGAGTTACATATGACTTTTGTAGATCTTGAGAAGGCATATGACACAGTCCCGCTAAATAAACTATGGGAAGTCCTGGGCACATCAAATATACATCAAACATTGGTTAGTGCTCTCAAAGATCTATATTATGGTTCAAACTCATAAATGAAATTCGGAAATCTCTTAGCTGAAAAATTTGCAGTTACTAAGGGTCTCAGACAAGGATGTTGTATCTCTCCGACTCTGTTTAAGATTTATATCTCTGCAGCTCTGAAACAATGGAAAAGGAAAGTCAAAGAAATGGGTATACAATTGAACGATCAGGATTACATATATACTTTACAGTTTGCAGATGATCAGGTGGTGATCTCAAATGAAAAAGACGACATGGAATACATGCTTAGAAAACTAATTGAAGAATACCAGAAATGGGGATTGAATATCAATTTAGAAAAGACAAAATACCTCTCAATTGGAGCTGAAGTAGAACAACTCGATATCGATGACAATCAAAAAGTAAATCCATGTGACGAATATAAATACCTGGCCGTCATCTTCGACCGTAGTGGAAAAGACGAACGAGAAATAGAACATCGAATTGTACAAGCACGAAGAGCTATAGCATGTTTGAACGGAGTTCTATGGAGTAAAGAAATATCAAAGAAAAGAAAATGGAACATCTATGAGACAATGGTTAAAACTAGCCTACTTTATGGAGCTGAGACATGGAGAATAACCGAGAAATATAAGAAAAAGGTCGAAGCCACGGAAATGGATGCCATCAGAAGATCGATGAGAATATCAAGAGCCGACAGAATACGGAATGAAGTGATAAAACAACAAATGGGTATAGAGGGCACTATAGTTGAGGATATTGAGAGAAAACAGCTCATATGGTATGGACATGTGAGCCGAATGGGGGACGAAAGATTGCCTAAAAAAACGATGATGTGGCAACCCCCAGAGAAGAGGAAACGAGGAAGACCACCACAGAGCTGGAACCTGGGAGTTAGGAAAGCGATTAGCGCTCGAAATCTGGACGAAGACCTAACTCAAGACCGAATACAGTGGCGGTTGGGAGTCGGACAACGTCGTAAGACGTTATAAAATCGAATGTATATATATATATATATATATATATATATATATATAATATATATATATATATATATATATATATATATATATATATAACTATTAATAAAAAGGCATAAATTTATATTTACTTTATTTTATAATGGAATATTAAAATAATAAAACTCAAATTGTTACGAAAACTTACCAGTTGTGGAAACAACATAAGCTGAAAAATAAAACAAGATATTAACAATTTTTGGTAATTCTCGATATATTTGGTATAAGTTTAAAAAAGTATTAGATAAAAACCAGAAAAATTTTAATACAGATAGAAATAATTAAATAATTAATTAAATTCAAATATTTATATTTATTTTGTCATATAGCCTTATTTTTTTGTTTCTATTACTGCTTTTTGCCATCTTTGTATGTAGTATTTCCCATATTCTGTGTCTATTGTCATCAATCCGATATTTTATGCCCATTTTTTTCTGCCACTTTTATTCCCTATTTCTTTACTTAACTATACGTGTTCTGTCTATCTTGTTATGATTCTTATAAAGCTTCCATAGCATCTTTACTTATACATATATTTTACTATATTCCGGTACATCTTTAAGTTCTATGAATAAATAACGTTTTAATTATTATTATAAACGTTTAAATTTAACGTCATTATGTATAATAGGAATGCTGCCGTTTTATATTTTTGACTAGTTATAGTATTTATCCTTTTTTTGTAAATTTTTTAGTTATGTGGATCTAATCTTTTTTTACTTTGAGTTTTGACTACAGCCTAATTTGAGCCATGACCTTCCGCTGCAAACATCTTCACTTCCCCTTCGTTTTTGTTTTCTGTTTGAAAACAAAAATTTCTACTGTTTGAAAATTTTTAACTTATTATCCATATCCATAAGTTTTAAGACTGATCCTTCTTTAGAGTGCCATATCGCTACGGAACGTCGGCGACTCTACACGCTTATAATATTATTATACTGATCTCGGTCTTGGGCTACGTGTAGCAATTGGTCCGCTGTCAAACCTGTCCACTGCCGCAAATTCCTCAACCAAGAGAGTTTCTTCCGTCCTATCCATTTCTTTGCTTCGATTTTACCGTTGAGAATTAGCCGAAGGAACTCATATCTTGGTCCTCTGATTATATGTCCAAGATATTCTAGTTTACGCCTCTTAATAATATTTAATAGAGTTCGTTAATGTCCCATTCTTCGAAGAACTTCTTCGTTTCTGGTTCTGGTAGTCCATGGAATTTTTAGTATCCTTCGATACAACCACATCTCAAACGCCTCGATTTTATTTATGATATCAGCGTTTAAAGTCCAAGTTTCACATCCATACAAAAGTACAGACCACACGTAACATCATGTAAACTTTTCACGGATTTCTAAATATAATGAGTTATTGGATAATAGAGGCTTGAATTTTTGAAATGAGTTTCTTGCCTGTTCAATTCTACATCGAATTACGAAGGATGGATCTAGATTTTGGGTAATCCAACATCCAAGGTATTTGAATCTCTAAACTCTCTGCAGCGGTTGTTGGTTTAATATCAGTTGGGTTGCGCCGATATCCACCTTACTGGTCACCATTTATTTAGTTTTATCGATATTTATAGACAGTCCCCAATTTGTGCATTCCATTACAACTCTACTGATTAGCTCCTGCAGATCGTCGATGTGTTCAGCTAGAATCACAGTATCGTCGGCGTACCGTAAATTGTTAATTATTTCTCCTTCTATGATAATTCCTTTTTGATCTTTTAAAGCTTCCCTAAATAGATTCTCAGAATACACGTTAAAGAGGGTGGGAGATAGTACACAGCCTTGTCTTACGCCTCGATCCAATTATATCAAAACTGAGACTAATCCAAGAATATCCAAGACCGATCCAATGATATCAAAATCAAATATAAGGTCTGACAGGGATGTATAATATCACCCCTGATGTTTAATATATACTATGAGGAAATCTTTTAAGAAGCAGAAGATGTTGAAGCCGAAATTCGAATTAACGGAGAATCAGATACGCGAATGTAGTATTTTCTGGCAGTTATGAAGCCCTCTGGGAGTTAACAAATAGAATCGCAGAAAACAAAACAAAAAAAAACAAAATATACGATAATCTCTACGAAGGAACAGCAAACTGAAAAAATCAGTGTGAGTGGTCAATTAATAGAAAGAGTTAGAACATGCACATACCTTGGTATGAACTTTAATGGAAATTGGGAACATTCCCTAGAAATCAAATGTAGAATAGAGAAAGCAAGATTTGTATTTAAAAAAATGGCTAAGCTATTCAAATGGCATGATTTATCGGTACCCATAAAAATCTTTTCTATACTTTTGTACGAAGTTAAGTCGTGAACTCTCACAGGCGCTAAAGGTGGCTTTATTGTCGAATTCAAAAGATATTCTATACTGACCATGTTACGTCGTCAGTATTGCCGTTTGTAATGTAGACTGCTTAATAGGAAAAGATTTCTGCTTTTTATGAAACTGTCAACGATCAGGTGGGATCGTGTTGCTTTTCGATCTGCTTTGTACTAGGACTTTAGTACTTTTTGTGTTTTTGACAGACCTATTTATTTAGCATGTGATTTATGTTTTGTATGCATATTCTAGCCTGTTGATTTTATTCTGGTCGTGATATTTATGTCATTTGTACAGCTGCCAAAAGGGCTGACTAATTGATAATGTGATATATGCTTTGTACCGTACAGCATCATAATACGAGTTATTATATTTTAAGATTTTAGTTTATCATGCCAATTATAGTATGAGAAATCGGTTGTTGATGGTATAATAAATTGACTGTGAGTAAGTCTTATTCTTATTTTCTTTTTACCCATTTGAAATGGACTTACACAGGCAATATATTCAAGATTTATTTAACATTATGTATAAATGTGCTGTTTATGCTCATGTTTATGTTCATGTAAGTCACAGTATTTCATATTTACTCAATTGTTTAAAAACTATATGACACTGAGGAGCTTGATAAAGACTTGATGAAGCTTATTAAAGACCTTTGTGACTTAATAAAATACCATCTATTACATATGATTGAACTAGTATTGAAGTAAGCATTCCAATAATAATAATTAAATATACAAAGTTTTCTATTTAAAAAACCAAAGTGGCTGATGATATCAGAAAAATGGTGAATTTGGCAACATTGAAAGCATCAAATTCAAAATATCCATATTAATAAATACACGTGTCTGGTTTTTGTAAAAAGAACTATCCATTTAAGAAATAATTCGACATTTCCAGACTTTTGGTCCACTCTGTATATGTAACTACAATATACGTCGTTTAATGTTTTTACATTTTTATCTATATCTATCAAATAAGCGGATACTTACAGCAATCGACATTAGCAGGCCAATCGCAATTGTTTATTTTAATATTCCATAATTCTCCTGTTGGACAATCCATTAAAATTGGTACTCCGTTTGAACATTCATAATACTTTGAGCAATCATAAATGTAAGGGAAATATTCTTTGTCAGCTGTACATATTAGATCTGGTGTTGTGTATGGTACTGAAGTTGTTGGAGCTGTTGGAGTTTCGGGTTCAGGAGTTTGGGTTACTGGTGATGTAGGTGGAACTTTAGTTCCTAAAATGCAAATAAAAATTAAATTGAGCTGTGAAATTTACATAAATTTCTAAATGTTTCTTATTTGAAGTAACGTCAAGATCTATCATAAATAAAATATTTTGCATTGTAGTTAATTAAAAACCACATTATACAAAATTACTGCTAAAATGTGTTTTTTATGTCTGCTTACTCGCATATCTTAATAATATACTTTATCTACGACTAATACATAACAAGAATAATATAAAAATAGTTTTGGCAATATGATGCTATAAGTATTTCCTTTCCAATCAAACACATTATTGTTAGGTAACATACTTACCAGGAGTTACGGTATACGCTGTAAAAAAAAAGAAATCATTAGTAAAAAATATTTAAATTAGTAGTTATTTTTTAATTTTTCTTAAGATATAAACTTTTTTAAAATCATGGTGTAAAGAACTATTCAAATTACCAATAGACAATGAAGAATTTATTATATCAGATATATAAAACTTGTGTATTTCATTACACACATAGATATAGCTATAAATTGTTGGAAAACTTTTCTATTAATAAAACATATTAAGCTATAAGAGAAAAACGGCCCAGAAATATGAGATATGAATAGAACAGAACTCAGTATTGAAGAAAATATCTAGAAAAGTTATACAGTTATAACAAAATTAAAGAAAAGAGTGAAAGCAGTAATGGCGTACAAAACAAATATTGAATAAGGAGTCTTCCTTCGCAAATAAGTCCTACAGTATTCAATGGGGTACTAGACAATATCTGTAAAAAGTGGAAAGTACTAATGAATTAAATTTTTTTTGTATGTTTTGGCTTGGACAATTGTCATTCAGCCAGTCTCAATCAAAATAAGTTTATTAATGTAGTGTGTGTGTGTGTGTGTGTGTGTGTGTGTGTGTGTGTGTGTGTGTGTGTGTGTGTGTGTGTGTGTGTGTGTGTGTGTGTGTGTGTGTGTGTGTGTGTGTGTGTAGAGTAATTGTCTTGATACTTAGAAAAGTCGACGTCATTGTCTTTGCTAAAAGACGCTAATTGTATCCGAACGTCTGCGGTCCCTCCGGTGAGTACCGATCACACAAGGATAGAAATTATTTTCATTCATTAATTTTTATATATATATATATATATATATATATAATATATATATATATATATATATATATATATATATATATAAGGTTCTTGAACTCCTAAGTGGAGCATAGAGCTTCAGTGAAAACGCGGCATCGGGTTCTATTTTGCGCTAAGGCCTTCACCTCATTCCAAGACTTTCCTTGTTTTCTTATCTCGTCCATGATGGATCTTCTCCAAGTTTGTACTGGGCGACCTTTTTTTCGTTTTCCTTGGGGATTCCACTCTAGGGCAGTCTTTGCAATACTGGAGTTATTTTTTCGGAGTGTGTGACCGATCCAACCCCACTTTCTGGACTTTATTTCATTTACTACCCTCTTTTGTTTGGTCAGGTGTAGTAAGTCTTCGTTTCTGATGATGTTAGGCCAGAAAATACGAACAATTCTTCGTAGACATTTATTAACAAAGACCTGCAGTTTGTCTGTAAGGGTTTTTGTCGTTTTCCAGGTTTCACATCCGTAAAGTAGTATAGACATGACATTTGACTGGAATATGCGGATCTTTGTCCACGTAGTGTATTCTCCCGACCTCCAAACAGGGTTGAGCATGCTGAAAGCTTGTTGCGCTTTTCGTATCCTCATACGAATATCGTCTTCTGTACCTCCGCTTTCTGTTATGACACTTCCAAGATACGTAAAGTTTTCCACATTTTCAATCTGCATGTTATTAATGGTGAATAGCGTGTTGTTTCTTGCATTTATTCTCATGGATTTGGTTTTACCAATATTGATTTTCAAACCTATTTTATTGGCTTCAGTGGAAAGTGTTTCCAATTGGTCAGCCACATCTTGGAACCTTTGTCCTAACAGGCAGATATCGTCGGCGTATTCTAGATCGCTTAGGCGTGTGGTTAACGTCCATTGTATCCCTCTTGTGTTAGAGTCTAGTTTGGAGAGAACATAGTCTAGAGCTATGTTAAAAAGAAACGGAGAAAGCACGCATCCCTGTCTGACTCCAGTAAGTACGTCAAATTCGTCACTGTTGATCCCATTGTGTGTCACGCTGCATTTCGCTTCAGTGTAGAGTAACTTTATAATGGAAATTATTTTATGCGGGATGTTTCTTAGCTCTAAAATTTTCCATATTGCATCATGAGATAAGCTGTCAAAAGCACGCTCGAAATCAACAAAAACCATGTATAGGGGTGTGTTCCATTCAACCGATTGTTCCATTATTAGCCTCACAGTATTAATGTGGTCTATGCAGGAGGATTCTGGTCTAAAGCCTACTTGATTAGCTCGAAATTCAACCTTGTTTGTTAATCTTTTAAGTATGATGGTCGTGAAGATTTTATTTATGGCGGTAAGCAAGGTTATTCCTCTCCAATTTTTGCATAGTGTGAGGTTGCCCTTTTTTGGAAGCTTAGTAATGATGCCTTTTTTCCAGCCCGCTGGAATGCGGTTTGTTTCCCACACCTCTTGGATTATGGGGAGCAAAAGTTCAGCAGTTAGATGCGGATCAGTTTTAAGCATTTCGCGATTTAACAAGTTTCTAAACAATATAATATATAATCACGACTAATAAGCTAATAAAAAGAAAAAGTACTTATACCGAGAATAAAATAATCCTGTTTATAATAATTTAGAGTAGTTTGTATAAGATAAATGGTTATTTAGTTTCATTTAAATATTTATTTTATTCTTAGCAATTATGATACACAATACTAAAATAAATAGGAAATAAATGCTTACAGCAATCAACGTTGGCAGCCCAGTCGCAGGTGTTAAGTTTAATATTCCACATTTCTCCGGCGGGGCAGCTCATTGGAACTGGTATTCCGTTGGAACATTCATAGTATTTTGAGCAATCATAAATGTTTGGGAAGAAGGTATTGTCTTTCGTACAGATCATTTCAGGAGTAGTATATGGAAGAGGTTCGTCAGTTGTCGTGGCTGGGGCTGAAAGTAAAAATTTGATATGGTAACGTTTTTAGAATAGTTTAATATTACACAGTAAATCAGTCATTAGTAAAACAGAGACACCGGTTAATACACTGAAATTTGTAAAATACAAAAAAATATCATATAAAATATCTTAACACCATTACTCTGAAGACTTACAGCTTTACAAAACTCAACCTAAAAAAGTAAACAAAGAAGTAACAAATAAAAAGAATAAACTTGACGAAAGATGTGTGTAGAGATAAAACATACTGAAGGAAGCAGAAGTTCAATGTTGTAGATGTTGATTCGTAACTGTATATAAATATTGTTAATACATTAACAGACTTTTTGTTAGTTTAGATTCTCCTCGTATATTCAATCAAGATTCCGCGTACAAAAATACAGACGCTATAAAACAGTTAACGGTTGATATACAATGTTGCAGCAAAGCGGACTATTTATTCGTACAATATATTTTAACAAAGATCCATAGAAAATAAGTGGCTTTCTTTAAAATTGTAGATCGCTGGGTAATTATCACCCACACGTAGCGTCAGCTTGTGAAAAACAACTTTTTACCGAACGGCCCTCTCAGTCAATATCAGTCAGTTAAAGACTGTCGTTACAGCTAGCAATAGTGGAGGCTACTCAGTCAACAAAGGCGAGTTTCAGCAGAGAGATACAGACAGTAGTTCGAGCCAGTAACTAGGTGTGAAGGCTGCTCAGTCAACGAAGACGAGTTTCATTAATGAGTAATAGATAGTCGTTCCATCCAGTAGGGGTGGAGGTTGCTTCGACATCTACAATACTTTTATTCCTGACACGAAGACAGGGGTATTCGTTATATAGTAGCATTTCGCTACCTTTACTCTACGTGGTAAAGTACATATTCTATTATACATTAATTACACTGTTTGCTGTTTAATTAAAAGTACGTATGTACTTGTATAATTGCTAGTTATATTTCCTACAAATTCATGTATTTCATCATTTTACGTTTATTTAAGCACGTATTTGAGGTATTGTAAAACAGTTGTAGATTTGTTTGACATTTGTATCTATATGATATACTTTATAATATATAATTTGTCTTATCTCTAAGATCATCTATTTGAGATTCATTGATATTTCTGTGATAATCAGCTGTTAAAGTCATTGTTTCCTTCTGTCCTATCAAAGTTAAGCATACTCATAATTTCTTTTGTAGACAAGCTCTTTAATTTGTGTGATATAGATATGCACAATTCATCTCATAATATTTAGTTTTTAAAACAGCCGTGTTTTTATACTAATTCGTTTATTTTTTGTGAGCTTATTTCAACTATAATCGAAATTTCGGCTTTCGTACCACTTAATATTTAAAGTACATATTTATATTTTATTACATTTAATTTATGTATGTTTATGTATATTTGTCTTTTGATTTTACTTGTTTTTAAATAGAGTTTCCTATAGTCTTCTTGCGTTTATTTTTCTATGGAAATATACATACCTAATGTGAAAGGTAGAAACCAGCGAGTTCTACATCAAACATAGAAATTATCCTTCCTTTCTGATGGCTTTACATGTTATATAAAGGTTATCGTATGTGCAGAAAGCAACAGTAGACTTTAAAAAATAATACCTTAAAATTGTTTTAATTTATGAAACAAAAAATAGATCAACAAGAAAACTATGCGATGAACCATATATAAATATTCCCATCAGAATAATAAACAATCAAAACACTAAAAAAGCTGAAAAGGTCCGGGAAGAATACCAAGAGCGCTAATAAAAAATATATCGTACACATTAGTCCGCATAAGATATAAACAACAAAGGAATATTTAAAGACGTCATAACAATAAACAACGTAACAACGGGCAGTGACCATCGTATAGTCAGAGCAAAAATAAATATTAACATGGAAGAAGAGGGAAAAAGGATTAAAAAAAACAACAAGGATAGATGCCTTTAAACTAAGAACAAATGAAGAGCAATTCCGAGAGGTCTTAGCGGATAAGTTCGAATCTGATACTTCACATAATCAAGATCAAATTGACGAGATTAATAAAAACCTAAATAAAAACCTTCTCGCAGCAGGACTACAGGTCACAAAGAAAACAAAGACTAAAGAAGACAAAATAAGCAATGAAACTAAACAGCTAATGACGGAAAGAAGACAACTACTAGCGCAAAACAAACGCCATACTCAAGAATATAGAAAACTTAATAAAACAATTAGAAAAGAACTAAACCGCGACATACAAAAATGGAACGAGAACTTAATAGAGCGAGTCATTGAAAACAATAAAGGCTTAAAATGTCTAAGACCCGCACTGGGAGTTTAAAAAATCATCAAAATTAAAGACGTCAACAATAAGGTAGAGAAGGACAAATATAAAATAACAAATATTGTCGAAGACTTCTACACATACTTGTACAGCTCACAAGGCCAGCCTAATGAAACAACGAAGGAGAACGTCAAAAGAAAAATAAAAAGCGTGGGATCAGAAGTACTACCAAATAAAAAGGGATACGAAATAGAAAGAACTTTAAAAGAACTAAAAAATAATAAAGCTCCAGGACACGACGGTATAATTGCCGAGCTCTTGCAAACAAGCAAGTCATTAACAATCCCTGTACTAACAGAGCTATGTAATAGATGTCTCCATAATAGCTAGATCCCTAAAGACTGGAACGAGGGTCTAGTAATACTCTTACACAAAAAAGGTGACAAATGTGATCTACAGAATTATAGACCTATATCGTTGGTCAGTCAAGTATACAAACTATTTATGAGAATTATTAATAACCGGTTAACCGACAAAATGGATAATTGCCAACTGGTTGAACAGGCTGGCTTCCGCAAAGGATATAATACATCAGACCATCTGCTGACAATGAGAACATTGATAGAGAAGGCAAATGAATACCAACTACCCGTATTTCTTGCCTTCGTCGACTATGAAAAGGCGTTTGATATTATCGAGATGTGGGCCCTAGAACAAGCTATTAATAATTGTAAAATAGACTGGAGATATAGGCAACTAATACATAATATATATGAAAATGCAACTATGATTGTCCAGTACCACTGGACGAAAATACAAATCCCATCCCCATTAAGAGAGGAATGAGACAAGGAGACGTAATATCGCCAAAGTTTTTCAACCTAGCCCTAGAAGACGTCTTTAAAACTACAAATTGGTCAACCTATGGCATTAACGTTAATGGCAACAAGGTAAACCACCTCAGATTCGCTAACGAGATAGTGATTATAGCGAGCACATTCGAGGAACTGTAAATTATGTTGGGGGAACTAGCAGCCAGCTCCCAATACGTCGGCCTAAAAATGAATATAAAAAAAATGAAAATAATGACAAACACAGAAGATCACAGACATATAACTATAAACGGCAGTCAGATAGAACAAATCCAGGAATATATCTACCTAGGCCAAATCCTGAGACTTGACAAAGAGAACCAAAGTGCGGAAATTACTAGAAGAGCAAGACTAGCATGGGCAGGATTTGGAAAACTTAGTTGGATACTTAAGAACCGCAAAATACCCCAATACTTGGGGAGCAAAGTGTTCAACCAATGCATCTTTCCTATCATGACATATGGATGTCAAACCTGGACCCTAACCAAGGCAAATATAAATAAACTAGCCACAACAGAATGAACAATGGAAAGAGCAATGTTAGGTATACGACTGTCAGATAAAAAGAGGAACGACTGGGTAAGATCCAAAACAAAAGTTAAGGACATAACAATAAAAATTGCAAAACTTAAATGGAGCTTCGCGGGACACACTGCTAGACAGAAAGACCAACGTTGGAATACTACAATACAACATTGGAGACCTTACGAAAGTAAGCGACCGATGGAAAGAGTTGGGAGAGGCCTATGACCAAACGTGGACGACAGAAGGCTAAGAAGAAGAAAAAGAAGATATAAACTACATAAACAAATAAAAGGCAGGAAACATGACAAACAATTTGAATAAGCAAAACAAAAATGTATTAAACAACCTCATCCAAAAAATAGAAATAGATATTAAAAATAAATCAATAAGCCAATAACTTAAAGTCTGATAAATAAGCACACAACTGACTACTCGTTATGGAAATAAAAAAATAATAATAAATAGACCAGCGCAAGCGAATTTGCTGATTAAAAAAGGAGATAGAAAACTGACACGTGATAAAAACAAAAAGCAGATCTGCATGTTTCATATTTAGAGAATCCATTCAAAAATCACGAAAATAATCAGCAAGCTAAAACGATGATGTGAATACTGAACACGATGTGAACAATACTGAATAAGGAATAATAAAGCCTACTACCTCTAAGAAAGTCACCAAAATAGTCAAGAACAAATAGATTAAAAAAAATAATAAATAGGACTTACTCACAATCAGTTTAATTTAACTATCTAGACGACCGGTATCGCCTCCTACAATTTGCAAAGCATCTTCAGGTCAGTCGGTACAAAGTTAATTAAATGCTGAAATTATAAAAGCCCATATTAGAGTGATGACTTATAAAAGATAAACATAAGATAAAATAATATAAAAATACAGTAATTATGCCAATATTACATTTGTAATAAATTAGTAAATAAACAAAACATTACTTATATGCCAGTACACTATTAATTAATTAATTAATTAATTAATTAATTAATTCAATAGACTATTTTTATAACAATTTGTGGGCCTTACTTTGTCCGCTTGAACAGTTTATTCATAAAAAAACACAGATATGTAATATTGGCATAATTATTGTAATTTATTTCATTTATCTTTTGTTTATCTTTATAAGACAACACCCTAATATACGTTTTATTATTTCAGCATTTAATTAACATTGTATTTTAATTAACATTGTATCGACAGACCTGAGGATGCTTTGCAAATTGTAGAAAGTGAAACTGGTCATCTAGATAGTTAAATTAAACTGATTGTAAGTAAATTTTATTTATTATTTTTTTTACCTATTTGAAATAGACTCACACAAGCAACACATTCATAATTTTAATCAAGAACAATATTAATCCCAAAAAGGTTGATACTAAGGTGGAATTCCATCAAGTGTAGAAGGGCTTGGGAGAGAGAGACGACGCCAACATGGGAGAGATGGCAGTCTCATTAGGGCAGATGATTATAAGTCTTTGGTGATTCGTAAGGATGTGGTTTTACCAACATATATGTAAGAGAAATAATGGGAATGGTTGGGGTGACAGGGGAGAGGTGGTGACAGGACGAAATATCAAAGATCTAACCCTCTCGGGCATCTCATTCTGGCAAAACTTCTTTAGGGTATAAACCTAACACGACCTGGGTCATAGGTGTCTGTAAGCCGATTTTCTTTCTTTTTTTTTTAAAGATGTACATATAAAGTATATACTTTCACTTTCACAACAGTTGTGCGTCTAAAAGACTACAAATTAACATTGCTACTATAACCATGTCAGTATGCCAAACAATTAGGTATTACTTTAAATTCAACGTTGACTTATATACATCACAATACTAATTTAAAATAAAAGAATGTCGCAAAAATCAACTATTTTATAAAATCACTGGCGAATATGCTTTTTGATTATGTTTTAGCTCCTTCTAGGTAACCCAATAGAAGGAGTACTTAATAAAACATGTAGGCTCATTATGGAGTGCCTAAAATCAAACACTATTAAAAAATCGAGAAGCCTTTGCAATGGTAATCGCCAACGTCGGATAGCTCTGATATGGCACGCGAAGAAGAAGATTAAAAAATCTACTACTTAACTGCAGTGGCTCCAACACGGGTTCGACGGGAGTCGGCCGCCCACTAAAAAAGGATGAATGCGAAGAATCTTAAACGCCTTTTAAATGGTTTTCAACAGCTCGACGTAATAAATCATGGAAATCTGAATATTCTTTAAGAGACTATGAACTAGGACTACCAAAGGTAAAGAAAACCTACAGAGATGGGAATTCTACCTGGCATAAAACCTATGTGATTTTAAAGAGGTTAAAATCTGCCCAAAGTATTCCAATTAATGCAGCCTTAAAGATCTTATAGATGAAATATTTAATGAAATTGATGTCTTCTTCTTCTTCAGGTGCCATCTCCGCTACGGAGGTTGGCAATCATCATAACTATCTTAATTTTTGAGGCAGTAGCTCTAAATAGTTGTTTTGAGCTGCATCCAAACCATTCTCTCAGGTTCTTCAGCCATGAAATTCGTCTTCTTCCGATGCTTCTTCTGCCATCTATTTTTCCTTGCATTATGAGTCGCAGGATGCCATACTTATCGCCCCGCATCACATATCCGAGATACCGAGATATTGATGTCAGTTAACTTAAATTTTAAACAAATAAACTGGTACACTGTAGATTCCTCTACAGCTTGAGTCAACCAAATTCACCAAAATTACCTAAATACTTAAATCTAATTGAATCACGAATGAATATCAAAAATTCATATAAAAAATATTTACAAATTTAATTCACTACATATTACAAAAAAATTACCTTCAGAACTGCTGGTACTTGGATAAGGAATGATGCCAGCTGAAAAATAAATAATCAATTAGGGTTGTTCTTTTTTTTTATATAACCTAATTTTAATACAAAGTGTAGTTCTTGACCTTATTATATTTTATAAAAGAAGTGCTCGTATGCATACAATGAAAAGATAATATTGTGATCTTAAAAATGCTTTAGTACTGATATAAATGTAATGAAGTTCATTTATATATACATGCGTTGAAAAAGATTTTTAAATCATTTTAAATGTGCAAAATTATTTTTAAAATTTAAAATAATTTTAAGATCGCGCGAGTAGAAGAAAAAATCCATTTTATGTTATTTTGGTATGTCAGCTAATTCTATTGGATGTTCCATCTCTTCTTTCGTTAATTAGATCAATATGACTATCGTGTTTTATTTATTTGTCGGTACCTTTCCTCTGTCTTAGAATCCGCTGTCGGGTATGTTGTTCTATTATTCTCTATACCCGATTTTACGCCGTTTTTATTGTTTATCTTTTTTTTGACCATCCGTTGTCAATTGTCAAATACTGATATATAAACGATAATCTTTGACGTACTTTACTAAATATTTTTACTGTACCTTAGTTAAACTTGACAAAAGATATTTAAAATTATTTTAAAAGGCTATGTTAAACTACAGCACTTACTTTAATAACAATTATGCATCTTTTGGATAATGTAGTATGAATTATGACAAATGTTTTATACTCTTTACTTCAATACTTACAGCAATCAACAGCTTCATTTACATCACATTTTTTAATGCTGTCATCCCAGAAGTAATCATCAGGGCATGGCAAAAGATACAATTGTTTATTTAAACACTCCCAGAATAGGCTGCAGTCGAAGGGATATCTCCAGTAAGTGTTTTTGCCATCTGAGCAATCGGGTTCTAAAAAATAAAACAATTTTTATATTATTTAAATTTTCATTATTATGCACTTATATTTAAAATTTGTATAAGCTTTTTAAAGGCAACATAATGAGTATCATATCTGATCATATGAGTACTACTTTCGTTGGTCCTAACAAGAACAAGAATAGGTAATGGATTTTAACAAGAGCTATTACCTAGAAAATATCAGATAAACTTGTGTACTGAATCGGTGTGACTCATAGCTCTTGTCAAAATCCATTACTTGTAACTGCAAGATCGATTTTTTTAACATTCTTATTATCGTCAAATACCATTTCTAATTACTGTTTATTTGACCTATACACAGTAGGGAAAGTTATTGTACATTTGGTATGCATATTCCTTGGTCCATTTACTAATACTAGTTGATAGGACTGTCTTTAAGCCAATGAAAGCCATTACAATACAGCTTGTAGAGAATCGATGTTTAAGTACTCAATGTAGCCTATAAGTATTTACGATGTTGCAGAGTTAAAGGGAAATGCATTTCCAAAAGTTATAATTTGTCCGTCAAATATGCTTAAAGGATTAGAATTATCACAGCTTTATATCCTTAATAAATACATATTCCAAGAACACAAATTTCTTACCCATTATTTTTTAGATAGTTTACTAAACAACAACTGAAATCTGAAAGCACTGAAAACTGAGGATGGATGTTCAATGTAAAACTGCAAATGATTTATATGATAATGTAGCCTCTTTAAGTGTTGCTTTAGCTAACCAGACCGAAAGCTCTTGTAGTATTTTAAATAACCCAAACCATCTGCTACATTTGGTGTCCATTTCTTAATGCATCTCCCAGCAAAAAGATCAGTGCAAGAAAACCATGAGGGAAATCTCACATAAAGACAAACACAACAGATAATTGACCTTATTCCACAGTTTAGACATTTTGTTTTTAATAATTCTGCTGAAATTAACTACATTCCTAGCATTTTATTATTTATTATTGTCTTTATAACCAGCACTACTTCTACCTTACTACATCAATGAGTTGCAGTTTCATTAGATGCTGTGTCGTTTTGTTATTCTTATTGTCTGAGGTTGGGTTTTCCTCAAAGTTTTCTTCCTACCTATTTATATATTTTTTGTTTCTCTGTTAGTAATTTTCCGTTGATGTCTTTCCATAATGTCAATCTTAAACCAATCAGTGTCTGCTTTGTAATATTCTTTTGTAGAATTGTCTGTTTTCTTGTCTATTTTGGTCTAGGATTTTTTATGCTGGTTAATTTAAAGCATCTCTTTTCTTTTTTTCTGCATGTTCTAGTCGCTTGTACTCTCTTCTCATTATAAACTTCTGTGTTATTTTTGATGTGTCTTTGTAGTAGGTTAAGCCCAGCTTGTCTTTTTTCATCTCCTTTAATGCTGACAAGGCTGAAGACACCATAGAGGCCCTCTATGAACAAATCGACAATGTCTTAAGACTAAAAGACAATATATAAATATTATAATGGGCGATTTGAACGCTAAAGTTGGCCAAGGAGAAGTGGAGAATTGCGTGGGGCGATATGGACTCGGGGAAAGGAATGAACGTGGCGATAGGCTTGTCGATTTCTGTGTCAATGAGGAACTCATAATTACAAATACTTTGTTCAAACTTCCTAAACGTAGACTATGTTCATGGAGGTCACCAGCTGACAATAACAACAAAATAGCCAGAAATCAAATAGATTATATTATCGTCAACAGAAGATATAGAAATTCTATAATATCATCTAAAACTTATTCAGGAGCGGACATATCCTCCGACCACAACCCGGTTGTTTTGTTGATGAGAGAAACTAAAGAAGGTCAACAGCCCTAGCATCAAGAAAATCATAGATACAAGACGTCTTAAACAAGATAACATATATGTGGAAACGAATTTTAAAATAAACGAGAGCTTAAGGAAAGCCAAACAAGCTAATGCAGAAACTCTATCTATTGACCAAAAATGGGGAAAAATTCAACATGCCCTTGTGTCAGATGGAAAATAAACCCTCAAACCACTTAAAGAAAAAACAAAACCTTGGATGACAGTGGAAATTTTTGAACTCATGGAAGAACGAAGAAAACATAAAGCAAAAGACCTGAATAAATACAAAGAAATTAAGAGAAACATCAGAAAGAAAATTCGAGAGGCAAAAGAGAGGTGGCTCTCCGACAGATGCAGGGAAACAGAAGATCTGGATAAAAAGTACGATAGCTTTAATTTACACAAAAAAATCAAAGAAATGACAGGTTCTAGAAAACTTAGAAAAACGAATATCTTCAAAAATGATAAAGGGGATATTATTACTGATATGAAGGAGAGATTATGTCACTGGACCAATTACATTCAACAACTATTTAATGATGAAAGAGAATAACTGTCATTTGAAATCACCATGGATACCGGACCACCAATATTAAGAGAAGAAGTTATCGATGCCATCAAAAACACAAAAGAGGGCAAAGCTACTGGATCAGATTAGGTGCCTATCGAATTATTCAAACTCATCGATGAAGATGTTATTGATGTAATGGTTGAACTCTTTAATTTAATATAACAGACTGCCACAATCCCCAGACAATGGCTGCAATCAACCTTTTTAGCAATTCCCAAAAAACCAAGTTCCACAACTTGCTCAGACCACAGAACAATAGCTTTAATGAGTCACACACTTAAAACATTTTTGAAAATAATTCACAGCAGAATTGTTAAAACTCTTGAATATGAGATTAGTGACACACAATTTGGCTTTAGAAATGGTACAGTAATAATTACGGATAACAAAAATAATTTACAGAACGTAATGCAACGCCTTAATGAACGCTGTCATGAGTACGGACTGAAGATAAATTTAAAGAAAACTAAATGCATGATCATGACTAAATCTGCACATGCAAATATCCAATTGACTATTGAAGATACTGCAATTGAGAGTGTTAATAACTATAAATACTTAGAAACATGGATAACATCAGATGTAGACCAAACCAAAGAAATTAAGACACGTATTGAACTAGCACGTACATCATTTATTAAACTATAAATAATAATAATAAATAAATAGGAGTAACCAGCTCACTTTATTGTTTCTACTTTGAACTTGCAAATGAGTCGTCCGTAATATTCTAAATATTTGCACAGTTACACTGTAAAAGGGTAAATTTTACATACACTTAAAAAATACACAATAAAATAATTTGCAGTTATATCTCTATATTATTATGTTCAAAAATATAAATATATAAACACCTCTCTAGTGTAGGTAACAAACTAAGAAATAATTAAAGTTTTATGATTAAACATTTTTGTCTTCGTCTGTAAAACAGAAAAAAACCAGTAGAAGCAGGCCTCATAATTATTGTAATTAGATAGATTAAACAAAAATACGACAGAAGGGAGATAGGTACAGAACAGTCAGAGGAAAAGAAGTTGTAGAACATCATCAACAAGAATATTCCGACATGGACACAATTAATAAAGAAATGCAACGAAAGCTCTTGAAAACAGGACTAACTGTTGCAAAGAAAACAAAAAATAAAGAAGACCGAATAAGTAAAAGAACAAAAAAATGGTTGATGAAAAAGAAATGCACATTTCTAAGCAAAGGGAAGCGAAACACCAATGGTTTCAAAGAGTTGAATAAACAAATAAAGAAGAAATTAGAGGATGATTTAAGGATCTATTATAAAAAAGAGGTAAAAAAATAATAGAAAAGAACCGGGACCTGAAATGCTTAAGATCAATCTTACAAAGAATTTTTTATAGATAGTAAAATTTACAAGAGTCCGGTAATTACGTGCGGCTAAACAAGTCTGGTAATCTAGGGTTAAAGATAAACATAATTCAACATTAGCAGAATATATTGCTCAATATTTAATAACATATTTAAAAAAAAATAAATAAGAATTTAATTATTTGCCAAATACGACAGAGGACAACAAAAAAGTGTACTCGGCATAAATCTAAAACGATTTCAATGTAAATATATCAGAATCATGGTAACAGTTTATCCATTCAGTTGGATATAATTTACACGGACAGAAAATTTTTGGGTAATAAATTGGAACAAATAAAATAAACATAGCTATCTTCCACCTACAAATCATTATCGAAAAAAAATACATGCATTATAAGAATCTGTAGTATAACTCCAGCAGTTATATTGAAAAAGACCTAAAAGAATAACAATAATAAAGAATTCTTCTGTTTAGTCTACTTCTACAACCGTTATCAATTGCGCGACAGGTAGTTGGGGATTGGCATAAAACGATACGGATAGGAATACATATCAATCAACATACACAAATAAAAACAATACTTTTTGGCGATGCTGAACAGATAATCCAAAATAATGACAGCCAGCTACAAAGAGCTATCTATAAACTCTATCTAGTACGAAAGTGTTTCAATATGAAAATATCGATTAAATGTTGGAACAAAAGCGCAGAGCATTGCAATCTAAGGTACGATGAAATGTTTCTAAATAAAAACTGGATCTATTGAAAATAAAAGTAGGCAGGGTGAAAATATAGTATGTTTTTATTTGTACGGTATATAATTTTTAGAGTTTTGCAAAATTATAATTGAATGGAAAATATTTATCGTACAAATTTTAATAATTTGCTTTCGAATAAGCATATATTTCATTTAAATCTTAGTATCAAATATAAAAGTATCACGGTATCAAATCTCTTCGTGCTCAAAGTTTTAGTATTTTTCAAATATTATCGAGATGTAATTTTAAAATTTAATTAAATCGTACGATGGTGAATTGACGTAAGTTATTAAGTCTCAACAAACTAAGCTCTAAATTAGAATTTTTTACATTTTTTTTCTGGTCCCTTTGTCCTCCTTATAATTTAACTTAAAACGTAAGATGTACAGATATTTGAAAATTCAATTAATCCCGACTTAAAACTTATCATAAGAAACCAACCTGAATACAGTGAAAATAAATTGGTGTTCTGTATACATATTTATCAAAATTTAGATTATTATGTTTTTTATGATAAGTATGTATGCTTAGGTATAGCACACTGGATGTTCCAGGAAATAAACTTGATAGTATTATACGTTGCAAAAGGACATCGCCAGTGCGAAATACTGAACATTTTATCTGTAACAATAAAACACTGAAAACTTCGTTTTCGGAATTTCCACAAAAAATTATTATATAATCCTCTTACTACAGCTGTTTTGGCTGATTGCCTTTCTCAATTTATCTATTTTTGGCATACGTTTACACTTTATACTCATTGATGAAATAGGTTGAGTAGTAGAGAACTGTTTGTCTCAAGTTGGCCATTCAGAATTATATTTGTGTTTCTAATTTTTTAGTGTCCATAGATTCTAACAGAAATAGCTTATGGCATTTATTTTGAATGTACAGAATTTTAAATTCGTCATTAAAAGAATGACGTCTACTCAGTTTGAAGTAAGATTTTGGGCAGACGAAACATTTAAATTTGTGTAAATCACTGTGTAAGTGCTTTTTATTTTGACTCTTGTTGTTTTTAATATATTTTCCTAAATTGCTAATGGCCATTTTTGTTGTTTTGCCTGTCTATGTAATCGAGCAGAAGGTACTGGGTTTTTTCTCTGGTGGTGGAAAGACTAACTTCTGGGCTTTCTTGTGCAGTTTTTGGTTTAAAATTTTATTAATTGTTTGTTCGTTGTATCCATTGTTTACTGTTATTTGCTTAATGATATTTAATTCTGTCTCAAAGTTGTATTTTAACATCGGAATTTCTGTTAATCTATATAATATACTATGATAGGCTGCCACTTTATGTTGTGTGTCATGAGATGATGAATTGTGTAAAGTCGGGTCAGTATGGGTAGGTTTAGAAAATATGCAGAAGTCATGTTTGTTTTGTCTCAGAAGTCTGATAATTTTTAAATCTAAAAAATTTATGGATTGATTTGGTTCTGTGTCTATTGTACATTTAATATGAATATGAAGTGAATGAATATACAATAAAAATTTGTCGAGTAGCCTGTTATCTCATATGAAACATACCAGTACGTCGTCTACGTATCTCCATCAATATAAAAACTGTTTGAATATGGGATGTTTTGAAATCTTTGTCTCTAGATCATCCATAAATGATCCATAATGAGCAATCATCTAAGCCTATTGATATTGGATATTTCGATGGTCAACTCGACCAATTTTTATTGTATATTAAGTTACTTCATAGTCATATGGAATTTACAAGAGAAACAGAACAAAATCAATCCATACATTTTTTAGAGTTAAAAATTATCAAACTTAAAAACAAACATGACTTCTTCATATTTCATAAAACTACCTTTACTGACAAGACTATACACAATTCAATATCTCATCCCACACAATATAAATTAACAGCGTATCATAGTATATGCTCAAAAGCTTACATCGGTCAAAGTGGTAGAAATTTTAATAAACCAACCATCAGAACATAGAAGGGCTTTCAATAATAGAATAACAGATTCTACATACGCACTTCACCTTCTAGATCACAATCATTTTTCTATTGACGAACTTAAAATTCTTCACATTCAAAATAGAGGCCTTAAGCTATCTTTGTTAAAATCTATGTAAATTAACAACTTAAAAAATACAGATATGATTCTGAATAACCAACTTGAGATAAACAATTCTCCCCTACTCAACCTATTTTATTAAAGACTATGAAGTGTAAACGCATGCCAAAAATAGATCAAGTTAAATACCATTCTCTCTCCTGTGCCGGCAAGAATGTAGAGCGTAGAATAATTTTTAATAATTTTAAACTGTTTGTCCTCGTTTTAATGTAGTGTTATGTACAATTTATGTCCAATTTCATGTTTATTACATTCTACGGTTGCTGGATAGCCCAAATTTGACGAAATACTCCTGATGATGCTGTAGAAAGCGAAAGTACTTGGCAAGATTTGATAATTAAATTTATGCTCGATATTTGCCTTAATTTTTCAAAGTTCATTTATTCGAGCATTCAACCTTAAATCAATTAAAAATAGATCACTTGAGAAAGGCAATCAGCCGAAACAGCTGTAGTCAAGATTATATAAAAATTTTTTGTGAAAATTTATGTTTTATTGTTACATAAAATAAATTTACATCAAGTAACGGTCAAATCCATCAACATTTTTTCTATTTCCTTTAGTAGTACGGTGCAAAAAAAATGAATTTCTGCATTTTTAGGAATGCATTACTAACATTTCCTAACGTTATAGCCACTAAACAAAAGGATTTAAGTTAAAAATTAAATAGCAGTGTATAAAGTTGCATACAGAACTCTAGTTTTCTTGTAAACATCTGTTTTATTTACAAATGTGTTTGATGCGTCTCTGGTTTAAAAAAAATTGTTACATCTTTGCTTCCTGGCAAATGACTTACAGGCCTTTTCTGGAACCATATTAATGAATAAAGTATCTTTAATAATTAAAATATAATAAAATCGTAGTTTTACGATACTTACCACCTTATCAGCTTATAATATATTTTTTGTACCTACTCACCTGGAAATGGAATTTCATCTGAAATGAAAGTCAAAGTTATTCTTTAAATATACAAATTGGTGAATTTTTAATAAACTATGAAACGCTTTAGCTAAACTGGCTTACAAATGAAAAGCAAAATTAATATTTGTTGGAATTGCTAGTTGATCCATTTTGCATGATAGATATCGCCATAATAGCCGAAATATATCGACCTAGGAAAAATTATGAAACTTGACAAAGAGAACCAAAGCGAGGAAATCACTAGAAGAGCAAAATTGGCATGGACAGGATTGAAAAAACTTCATAGAAAATTTGGATACTTAAGAACCGCAAACTACCTTAATACTTGAGGAGGAAAGTGCTCAACTAGTGTATCCTCACAATACATATTGATATAGATGTCAAACCTGGACCCTAACCAAGGCAAATATAAATAAACTAACTATATCAGAAAGGGCATAAGAAAGATTATTATTAGATATACGACTGTCAGATAAAAAAACGATTGGATAGGATCAAAATCAAAACTTGATGATACCACAACAAAACTTATCAAACTCAAATGTAGTTTCGCTGGTCTTACTGCCAGACAGAAAGACCAATATTGGAATGCCACAATATAACATTAAAGACTTTACAAAAGTAGATGATCAACAGGAACACCACAAATGAAATGGGTCAACGACATAAAAAGAATAGCCGGCACAAATTGGAAGTACGTAGCTCAAAATCCTGTGCTCAAAAATAAATGACAGAAGGCTGAAAAAGAAGTATTATACATTGAAGTGAGAAGCAAAACGAAGCTTAAATAGCAAAGAGGACCAAATTGAATAGCCATGGTAACATTTAAGAAAAAAAAGTTTAGAACATAAATCAAAGAAGCAAACAGTAAGCACGTAAAAGGGAGGCCTACGATACGTTCGAAAACTATAGGTGTATTATACTGCAATTAAATTCCTTTGAAAATTTAGGCAAATAGAAGAGTATAGTCCTAGAGGTAATCCATTAATATTTAAAAAGAGATAAAATGCATGGCAAAAAATATTATTATTGTGAGGACACCAACACAAAAATCAAAGTAGCGTTAGAAAAATCTTTAAGGAAGGAGTATATAGATGTTTTCATTACAGTGAGGGTAAAAAACATGTAAAGTGGCCAAACAGAGCAAAAAAAGTAACTAATCTAGACCAATTAAGACATATTTGGGACGAATTCAATAAAATTCTAGTGTAATATACTATACTTAATAGCTACCAAAACAACTAAAAGGTTAGTTGCCTAAGGACTACAAAAACAAAGAAAGTAAATAAGTTGGACAAAATGCCATTGCTGAACTGAAGTAAGGGTAGCTTGTGAGAGACTGGTTCAAGTTGACTGACAGACTTGTTTATTATGAAAATGACATAAATGCCAGATAATTGAAAAAGCAATATCTTATCAGCAGTGTACAAAACTATGTCCAATATCGCATAATTAGTTGGACAAGTAAAGAATTATAAATAAGTAAAATTAATAATCAATATAGTTGCACATTTCTGTAAGGAGCCGATGATAAAGTCTAAAGAAGACGAAGTGAGAGACACAAAGTCACTAAACTTATTGAATTAACTTATTAACTTAAATATTTATTTGTAATGTTAATACTCGTTTAAGTTTTTATTTTAATAAACAATAGAAATTCGGTTATCACAAACAAATTAAAGAGTTACTTACGGCATTCTGCATTTTCAGGAAAATCACAAGCTTTGCGGTCTTCACTCCAAATGAAACCTTCGGGACAGTCTATGACTACCAGGGCATTATCTTCACAGGCTATATATTTGTGACAGTCATATGGATAGGCACGGTAATTCAAATCATCCTGATTACATGGAAGTGTATATAATTCGTGAGAGGCATTGTAAAATGCTGTACAATAATTAGCTAAAATATTAAAAATAGTTTAAGAATTATTAATTTGTAAAATCAAAATCTACTAAAAGAACCAGTGCTCAGATAGTGCCTATCAGCATTAATTACTTAATTTTAAATAATTTGAAAAACTGGTAATGTCTTTTCAAATGTTTTTTCCGTCTTAAATTCTTCTTTAATTATTTCTACTGGGAATTATCATAAATAGTTACATTGGAAATAATTATCTGGCAATTCGTCTTTCAGCACGGATATTATTTTTAAATTACAAGATTTTTAAACACTAAACAAATAATTTTGTGTCTGTTAATCTTGACAAGAAATTAATTTAGTAATTTACTTATATTTTCTCATTCGTGAAGACCATCGAAAAGTTTTACATATGCGTTAAAATAACCATTGACCTACCCGAACGAACGCCTATGACCAGGAATAGAAACTCGTAATTGATATAATCGATTCAACTCTTAATAAAAAAAAATCGTATCAGTTTCCGTTTTTTTAACTAGAAGCGTTCTGGAGGAATTAAAGAAGAGGTGTGTAAACAAATTAATTCTAAGCCATGCGCTTTCTGCTTACAAAACCATGAGAACTATGCTACAATACGATTTTAAGTTTACGATGTTTCACTTACTTTAAGTCTTTAAACATCACCAGTAGGAGGGATAATTTGATAACAACATTACAGAAAATATTTCTTATTAACCCAGATATGCCCAGCGTCCTAGAATGCCTGAAGCAAGTCCGATCCTGTGTCATTCTTGTCCAGTAAGTAAATGCTTACTGTGGCTGAGTAGTTATTCTACTGCAACTTGGTGATTTTGTTTTGACAACCTTAATATCTTTGTCATATAAGAAATATCTTGCCTTTGTCAAGGCAAGCCATCGAAGACAACACCCTGATGTTTATTTCGACTTTCTTAGTTGTAAGTCATGTAAGAAATAGCTCGTCTTTCTCAAGACGAGTCATCAGATGAGAAAACTTTACAAGTTCATATCCTGAAAATGGACTTGGGTAGAGGTGCTTTCGTTGACGTCTCCGAAGCCCTCTACAGAGCACCCGGAGGCATTAGAAGGGGTTTAGACCCTTTTTATTTCCCCCGAGGTGACATGGCGCCCGACAACGTGGTTAAAATCCGCACCCACGACCCAACTCGAATTCACAGAAAGCTGCAGACCATTGACTTCAACATGGGTTTAAAGTCAAGAGAAGAATGGAGACAACCACGGAGTGTTAGGAAGCTATACTCTAACACTCCTACATCGAGGCCTTCTGCAGACCGGATGCCTTCGACGTGCAGGCGCCTTTGACGAGCCAGCCTTCTTCGAAGTTAGAAGCCCCCAGATGCCGATGAAAGTCCCGGAGTAGACCCAGTCATCGCCTCCCTACCGAAAGTGGTTGGACGACCACGTAGGCTTCGGCACACTGGTACCCTACGAAACCCCGTCGGATATGGCAGGTGGGATCCAGACGACCAAGAAGAAGACGAACCCGTTTGAGGAGCTGCAGGAGTTTGAGATGCCGTCATCACCATCGACCTCCCCTGTAAGTAGTGCAGTGCTGTGAATTTTTGAACTTTTATTAACATTTAATTTTTCTTGTGCATTTTTATGTATTTTTACTTGTATTTTTATTGTGTATTTTTCACATGTATTTTTATTGTATTTTTATGATTCAATAAATTTCTTTCCCAGGCACAGAGTCTCCAGAGGAGGGGGATGTCCTCAAGCGCGACTAGTACGCGCTCGTACCCCGCCCCTCATTTTTTCTTATTGGTTCCTGACCTGGAAATCCCTATTTATCGCTACATCAGCGTGTATAAAAATAGGCGATTTTCAGATCAACCAAGTCAGTCCTTCACGGGCTCTCCGAGAGCTTAGTACTCTCGGGGCTCTGCTTCCTTTTTAGCTTTCCATACTCTGTGGCTGAGTAGTTATTCTACTGCAACTTGGTGATTTTATTTCGACAACCTTAATATCTTTGTCATGTAAGAAATATCTTGCCTTTGTCAAGGCAAGCCACCGAAGACAACACCCCGATGTTTATTTCGACTTTCTTAGTTGTAAGTCATGTAAGAAATAGCTCTTCTTTCTCAAGACGAGTCAACAGATGAGAAAACTTTACAAGTTCATATCCTGAATATGGACTTGGATAGAGGTGCTTTCGTTGACGTCTCCGAAGCCCTCTACAGAGCACCCGAAGGCATTAGAAGGCGTTTAGACCCTTTTCATTTCCCCCGAGGTGACACTTCACAGATGGCATATGACAATAATGACAGAATATGAAATTATTGACATAATATGTCATATTGACTTATATCATATTATGGAAATGAAAAATTAAGATTTTTAAAAATTAAAAAAAAATTTAGAATATAGTTTGGAATAAAATTTTTAATATTGTATGAGGTCGCTCTTTTTACTCTAAAGTCTTCCACAATAATTTATAAATAGGTTTATTATAATTGCCATCAAGATTGATTGACAATTGACAATCAGCGTCCAGTTTTATTTCTATGGATATATCAAGGTTTTATAAACGGTTCGTAAGTCTAAAATTTTTATTTGGGATGTTATATAAACTTTAACTGTTTTTGGGAGGAAAAAAAGAAATGATTTCTAAATTTAACGTGATGGTCAATGGTTGATTTATCTGTGTATAAAGATGTTCTTTGATTCTTTGAGCCAGTGTTTTCATTGTTCTGCACACATAGGCCATGTTATAATCACCACAAGACAATCTGTAATTACCACTTTTATTTTATGGATCATTTGTGTCCCTAGTTTCTTATTAAAATGAACTTGTGTTTCGTTTTAAAAGAAATGATACTGATTTTACTGCAGAAAACTTTGATTTCACTATAAAGTACCTACTCTTCATACTTTTTGTTAAAATTGATCCTAAATAAGATAAGAATAAGATTCAAAGCTTGGTTAAGTCTTTTGTTCTGTGTGGAAATGAAGCATGGCCAACAAAATTAAATACCAAGAGACGCCTTTATCGCAGAATATCATGGACATAACACATTATGAATCTAACAGTATTAAACACCATTAATAGAGGGATATAACTTATAACAACGATCAAGAAAAGAAAGACCTCGTACCTACATCACATGGGAAATGACAAATATAATGGTGTGCACCAGAAGAAGAAGTGCACCTGATTATCTTATTCAGAATCAATTATATCTTAATTTCGTTTTATTTGCTGTTACGTACCACGGTCTGCCTTTAAATTTAAATCAGAGAACATACGAACACAGCGTACATGCGTTGGTAGTTCTCTGTTTAAATATTGAGTAAAAGATTAAGTTAGAGCTATGTTATTTTATTTACAACATTATTTTCTGTTACGTTTTTTATAATATTGCACTAACATCTTGAGTAAGTCCGAAATAATAAAAGTTTTGAAAAATGCATTGCTATTTATTTAATATTAAAAATAATACAAATGATAATCTTTCTATCAATCAGTTCAAGCAGCTAAATCAGCTAATACAATTGACATCAAAGCTAAATCTGGCAAATTACCTTGGATTTAAAGATAAGGTCTCGTTAATGTATTTGTAAATTGTGGTATTTTAAATGAACAATATACTTTAGAAGAGCCGCTTAAAATATATATTACAAATACGTGTTATTATTTATATAAATATTTATGACATTTTATCATTTTGCTTTTAAGCAGATAAATATGTTATTTGATAGAATTTGAGTACAGTTTCTTAAACAAATGAACTGACATTAAAAGATAGAATATGAAATGACGAGACATTGCAAGAAACCAGCTTAAAAAATAAAAGTAGTTCTAGTAAAAGATATTCGTTTATAAGAAATTATTATATGATGAGAAGAATGAAGACGAAAACGAAAGTAGAGTATTATATAAATAAATAGTCAGAGATTGGCACGAATTGAAAGATATTCAAGACCAACAAGTACCAAACCTCTACTAAGAATTTTTAAAGATGGTAGGATAGTTAGCAGTCAATATGTGTGTAGTAAAAATATTACTACAGCATTTGTATTGAACAAAACAAACTCACAGCCTATTAAAAGAAGATCAAACCATTAAATATAGAAATATACATTAATCTAAATAGGCAGAAAAAATCAACCTCTTACTGCTATGCATTAAAAAAGGATTCATTTATACATATTGGTCATCTAAAAGTGCAAGAATAATTATCTCTGTTTTAGATTTGATGATCATCATTATAATCGATCCCTTCATTCGGTTCTACTCTGCGCAGCTTAATACCCGTTGACAGAACCGATCTTTCTGGCATCTTCGTCTACACCTTCCCTTTATATCAAACTTGTTCTAACTTTTCATCTAATTTCCTAGGGCTTCGCTATTGAAATACTTCATGCATTTTGGTTTATCTAATATTATGTTGTTGGTGTTGTGGCTATATTTCTAACTGTGTGATCCCAATGCTATAAGCTTAGTTTTATTTTGTTGATGATTGAAAAGTGCAGCGCACATCTCTTTGAATTAAAGAGTCATATGTGCAACAAGTTCCACGTGATTTGCATAGTCAGTTATACTTCAGTCATTTAGTTCTTCATCTAGTATAACTTTTTCAAGGGTGATATTAAAAGGAAAGCACGTCAACGCATTTAAAACTGATACGGAACAGATAATCATTCGCAAACCATTTAGTCATTTATTGAAAAAACCATTAAATATAATAGACCTCTGATACTTGTCTTTATCCACTTTGAAAAAGCGTTTGATACTGTCAATCGGAGTAAAATGCTCTAAGCTTTAACACAATGTAGAATATATCATCGATTCATATCCCCCATTAGATACATATATCAACATGCTACAGCCTGTGTAAGACTTAATAAAGATACTGGGACCTTTCGTTTTGAAAGAAGTGTTCGGCAAGGAGACAACATATCTCCTAAATTATTTACAACTTTGCTAAATTACGCTTGTAAAACAATAGATTGGAACGAAAAGGCATCAATGTAGATACAAAATTTTTAAATAACCTTAA